TCAATAAATTCAGCAATTTTGAAAATGCATCACTTATAACATGCATGTACATTGTATATGCAGTGCTGTGTACAATTCCCAGATAAGTCAGCCTCTATAACTTACATTTTTGATTATATTCCGAGTATTCAACCTACACGACAAAAACTAATGAATGAATTTGCAAGTTTTGCGGCAAGATAGAAAATGTTCTTCTCCATGTGTGGCATATGTCGAATACTATAGTACCAATCCAATCATAAACTTATTATGTTGAATAGTCAAAAAGATTGAAGTACGGGAGAAGGATATCACAGTTGGTTATTATTCTGAAATCACAAAACAGATATTTTCGGACTGTAAATCACTGAAGAATAGTGGCACTTTTTGTTTCAGAAAACTCTCCTTTAGAATAAGTTTTTTACTCACCTGGCACATGGGCAATGTGAGCTACTACCATCACTGGGGTCCATTGCCGTTGTCGACCGTCAACGTAATTTCCCCCTCAAAAGTCTCTTCTGAAACCACTGAAAAAAATTTAATCCAAAGTTAGCCTGAATGATCCTTAGGGTATCTAGTATAAAGTTTCTGCTTTGTTACCACAACTTATTAACATGGCCGTCATTGCCAAAGATAAAGCATAAGGACTTCACCAAAAGTGAAATTATAGCTGATTTTTACATGCCATGAACAACACATAAGGTGCAACATGTGGCGTAGTAGCTGATAATACTTTCAGAGAAAACGAGTTCATCCTCTATTTTGGTGTAGTTCCTGTTCCTTAGTGTAGTTTTTTTGTTTAATGATGTTTGTCTTTTCATGGGTTTACATACTGGCATTGGTGCTGTCCTTTTTTTTTTCGACTTATGGTTTCAAATTGCCCCTTGGCTGCATCGGTCGAATGGTCTAAGTAGTCGAACTACTGTATCACTAGTCTGTCAACACTGAGGTTGTGAGTTGGAATCTCGCACGTGCGTGTGCGCTCGACTCCAATCTTAATTGACTTGGATTGTTAGTTTTCCTACCGAAGGTCGATGGTTCTCTCCGGGCACTCCGACTTCCACCACCAATAAAAACTGACAGCCACGAAATAGCACAATAGTGGTGAAAGTGGCGTTAAAACCCATTAATCAATCAATCGATCAATCTGATTGCCCCTAAGTTTATTCTCCAATCTTTCTTCTTGAAAGCTATGATAGCTAGGGGAAAAAGTATTACCAAACTAAGATTACATGACAAATAATAAACATAGCTGAAAATATGAATTGTCTCCTCATATGTATAACTGCCCTCGCCTGTTGATATTCACCCTTTTTGGGTTTTGATATATGTCAATAAGAGACAACAACCCGACCAAAGAGTAGACAACAGCCGAAGGCCACCAATGGGTCTTCAACGCAGCGAGAAAATCCCGCACCCGGAGGTGGTCCTCAGCTGGCCCCTAAATAAAATTGTGTACTAGTTCAGTGAAAATGGACGCCATACTAAACTCCAAAACATATGAATGAACTAAAATTAAAAAACATACAAAACTAACAAAGGCAAGAGGCTCCGGACTTGGGACAGGCGCAAAAATGCGGCGGGGTTAAACATGTTTTGTGAGATCTCAACCGCCCCCCCCCCCCCCCCTATACCTCTAGCCAATGTAGAATAAAGAAACACATAGCAATACGCACAGTAAAACTCAGTTTAAAAGAAGTCCGATTCCGATGTCAAAATAGGTAAAAAAAGAAACTAAGCAAAATGACAATGATACATAAATGAACAAAGGACTACTAGCAGTTACTGACATGCCAGCTCCAGACCTCAATTTAACTGATTGAAAGGTTATGTCTTCATCATATGAAAATCAAGTACAATCCCTCCCGTTAGGGGTTTAGTATCATACCATCATAAAATATATGAGAATATAACCCGTATCATGCCAACAACTGGTTTTAGAATAAATGTGTTTATTTCCGATGCAAAGACCCTATGAGTGAATCAATATCAATACCAAAATATGCAATCCTTAATGACTTGACAACAGTATCGTAACTATATCCTTTCCGAATAAGTCTGTTTAAAGTAGCATATATGATAAGCAAAACAAAATCTTCCAAGTGACGTGATCGCAGTTGTCCGTTGACTCTATTAGGAGTAATTAACATGAATTGAAGAAATTAATTCAATATTCGCGGGCTTTCTACATTTTTTCCAAACTATAATAGATACAGAGAAACTCGAAACAGCACAGGTATCAGGAAGGCATAACACTTACCATGACCGATATAGTCAATTGGCTCCTATTGTAGTAAGTTCCCATAAATGACTATTTTCACATTTTTTAAAACATTTTGCTATTACCTTGAAAACTATTATAGAAAAACAGAAAAAAATAACTAAAATAATATGTAGAGCGGGTTATTATCAATTGACTCCTCATAGGAAATTTTTATCCTGAAATGATGTTTTTTTAAAAGATGTTCTCCGATATTTCTTTTTAATATTCTGCTATATTTATTAACGTTCTCCGATTAGAATCTTGATCAAACCTGGCACAACCTTACTCAGTGTGTGTGAAATGACTGACACCGTTGCAAATGGCTTTTAAAATGTTGCATGTTTTGACAGGGGACCTAGATACGTAAACAATGTCATGCGAATTGATTGAAAGGGCATTTATGTAATTACTTTATTGAGACAGCAACCCAACGATACAGAAACTTTACAGGCTAGGAATTTAGGAATTGCCAATAGTTGTGAGCCCTTTCAATAGTGAAAGGTCATAAAGACGTCATTAGATTTCGATATTTGCATTATTGGAGCACTGTCGTACAATTCTGAAAGGACGACCTTGCGCCAATTGATTTCAGTATAAGTGTAATAAAATGACTTTTATTGTTGGTATCAACATCACAAATGTTCTACTTAATAAAAAATGATAAAAAAAATAATTTTAGATGTTATAAATATACAATATAAAAAAGAGAAGAGGTATGATTGCCAATGCGACAACTTTCTACCAGAGACCAAATGTCGTAGATGTAAGCAACTATATAGATATCAGCAACTATAGGTCACCGTATGTCCCTCAAGAAAGCAAACAAAATTAATACTGTATAGTTAGCTATAAAATACCCCAAGATAACAAAATGTAAAATTATTCAAACGAGAAAATCAATGTCCTCATGTATGTATAAAACAATAACTAAAAACAAATGTCAGCCAGCATCCAACGCCAAATACTGAATTACAGGCTCCTCATACAGATTGTGGGGAGATAAAAATGTTAATGAACCCTCAACATCCCTTTTCTTTAATTTATCAATTTTGGTTACATTTCGTCTTATAAATCATAAATCTTTGGCTTTTTTAACTTTGGCTCTGGCAATATTAGTCCAGAAAAGAGATTTCACACGCAAAACATCGTTATCTTTGATTAACAACAAAACAAATAATTGTTTGTCTATTATAAAACTACTTAATTGCAAAAATATTTTTTTTTTTACTCAAATTCTTCAATTCGTGATAACGATATAAATTCGTGATTTCGAATTCATATATATATATATTTCTGGGAGGTCCTAAATATGCTTCTGTATGTTACAATGAACAATATAAAAAATCTTTATCATTTATGTACTCCAGTATCTACTTGCTAAGCGAATGAATGCATCATTTATTGGAAAAATAAATGAAAAATTTGATAGTGTATTTATTTCAAATACTATTGAAAATAAGGCTCTATAGTTGACAAGGAAAAAAAATATTATCTAAAGTTCTCGGTGATAGTAGGTGATAGATTTTGTGTTTATATCATTCAAATATCTTTGTTGTGAAGGTGTTACCATGTAATAATGTCACCCACAAAACAAAGTCCATTCTTGCTGACATGCGCAATGGACGGTCCGAATTGCTTTGTCATTTTTATCTGTTTATAAACAAATCTTACACAATCTTATTACCATACCATTTGACAGCCATCAGCTGATCGTTATTTGTAGAAAAAGTACGCGAAAGCTTAATCATTTTCGAATAACGTCGTAAAAAGAAATGAATAGTTAAGATCACTGAATTTAAATTTTGCATCGCGTAAAATTGTGAAGGTGATTTCATTAAGGTTATTGTTTGGACAAAAACAAATTAAAGCCAGAAATGGCAAATTTTAATGTCTGTTTACTGTGTATATTTCTCTCTTTGACTTTAAACGTTTCGTTCACGTCTGCTGATGTACACGGCAGTTCTGAAGTTAAGGACAAAGAGAAGCCGTACTATATTGCTGATATCTTAGTGAACAATCTGAATCTTACAAGACAATTATGGAAAATAGGAGAAGCCGCAGCCGCACTGGCAAGTAGTGGGGACGGTACTAGTATGGGAACGTCAATGGATCAGCAGACCAAAAACAGTATGTATAATTACATTCTTGACAATATTCCAGTTTTGATGAGAAATGAAGTTTTCCAAAACATAACACATGACATCATTGATGAAGTTTCTATTGCTTACACCAAATCCGACTTTTCGAAAAATGTGACTGCTTTTAAGAATGAAAACGGATCATTCACAAACAAAGCCGCTATGGATGTGCTGAAGCATCTAGATGTTGTGAGGCTTTTACAACGTAGCATTGACAGCGGAAAACCAGTGATTGACGAAGTTCGCGGAAATGACTCTACAGTGTTTATCGCTGTGGTGAACTATCTTATTGGAATGGCTCCTGTCGTATGGAAAGATCCTTCCTTTCAAAACATTAAAGGTATTATCATGCAAGAGCTTACTTTAGGCTATAATACCTTTATAAAAGAAAATAACGTAGACGGTCCTGGTCTAGCAAAACAAAATTCAACATTGCTTGTCATGGGAGTGCTGAAATATACGAACAAAGAACGAATGCTTTTGAGGTCGATGCAAGCAGCTAAACCAGTCATTGATAAACTTAGAGGCAAGGACTCAACCGCTTTGTTAATGGGCCTTGGTTTCCTTGCACAAGAATACCCCGTTGTCATGGCTGATCCACGTTACCAGCATATCCAAGCTGTAGTCACCAAATATGTGGAAGAAAGTTTCGGAAATCTCAACTATACACTGAAAGACGTACAGAAAAACCAGAATGAAGTGGTTACAAATGTAATTGCAAACATTAGTAAGATACATATGATTCAGGATATTCTGAGAGGGGGTAGTATTCGAGATGTCCTGCCATTGTCTTCTGAAGATACAGTCAACGATGTATGCTATGGGGATGCCATGGATTTTGTTGATTCCATGGTTGAGATTTCTCCATGGGCTCTCAAAAGTAAGTTTTTTTACTCTAGTTTTGATGGGAGATATATTTACACACAAACTGGTATTTTCATTTGCATTACATGAAAATTTATCTTTAATTTTGAATTTTGAAGGGGGAAGTAGTAATATTTAGCCACAAACTGGTATTTTCATTTACATTATATAAAAGTTTATCTTTAATTTTGAAGGTTGTGTACTAATATTTTAACACAAACTGGTATTTTCATTTGCATTACATGAAAGTTTATCTTTAATTTTGAAAGGGAGGGGGGAGGGGGTAAATATATTTAGACACAAATTGAGATGTAAAGATTTCTAGATAAATAAGAGCAAATATAGCGTGTTAGTAAGAAAGCTCTGATATATAGTTCAGTACTAGTATTATATTTGTTTTCATTTTGACGTAAATGATCAATGTTCAAACTTTTTCGGTGATCTCTATATCTGTTTTTTCTTCTTTTTTTTAATATGCTACCATATATTGCAAGTAAACACTTATTGTCTGCCATTTATGCTTAATTGGAACGTATCGAAGTATTATATCATATTTTGAAGCATTGCAATTTATACTTTGGCTTCAATTATTTTTGTATTTCTATTCAGTCATAAACTTCTGCTTATTAAATTTCCCAACGACGATGGATCAAATTACTTGTTTAAAAATCTGCATATCTTAAACAAAGGTAACCAGCCCAGCAACAGGGTATAATACGGAGTTGTTCTATATTGTTTTCTTACCCATCTTGCAGTAGACAATCCTGAATTTAGATAATGAGGTATAGGCTATTCATTCCTAAGGATGTGGTACGATTTCTTCTTATTTATTTTCTTTCTATTATTAAAATTAAATTATAATAGCAAATAAAAAAATACCATTTAAGTTAGTTTACAATTAGTTCAAATGCGATTCCCATTTAAGCCTCTCCAATTCATTTGTACCAACACATTAAACTGTTTAAGGAGGCGCATTTCACAGATGACAGACAATGAATATTTAAAACGTAGTTATAGTACAAAAGAAAGTTACACGAATAAAGTCCAAAACGTCAGCACAATCCTTGAATCACAAATACGAGTAATGTAAACTAGAAAATTAATGAACTTATACACAAAGGCATCTAAAACAACTGTAGAACTTGCTTTTGTGTTTTCTCGACAACTGGAAAAAGGCGCCTAAAGAATTATTTGAATGGTTAAAACCGAATTACCTGGTAATTCAAAAAATTATTGATAAGAAATAATAAAATTGCTAAATTTGTAAAGCATTTTATTGTTACAAGTGTTGTATCTGATGTTGTCAATCGGGTGCCTCAGGAGTAATTATTATTGTCATATTATCACTATGAGGCCAATAATGTTTGTTGTAACATGTAATTAGGCAATTTGGCATATGTTATGTGATTCAATTACCATAAGACAAGGATAAAACATGGATCTTATAGTCATTTATGTTATAGAAAAGAATAAGTTTTGTGTGTATTTTGTCAACATTGGCAGCTGCCAGATACACAAGTGAGAGTTGGGGACGAATGAGCATTTTATGGTGGTTGTCGCTATTTTTTTTAATAACATCATGTCCAGTTGTTTGGCATAAAACAGAAATAAGTTGAAAAGATTGTTCGAAAAGTACAATACCTAGTTAGAATATAAAGGAGGAAAAAACACTCCTTTTGTCTTCTAAATTAATGTTGTATTTTTCTGTTCGCATGCTTTCTAATTTCCTATAAGTGTTGCTAAAAAAAATAGTGTAAGTATTTCGTCAGAAACAATCGATGGTTGGGTACAAAGTTTATCTTTTCAGTTCCCACCCCCCAAATCGAATGTATTAGTTTATAGATCATTCTATGTGATTATCGGTCACGTAAACAGGCATATAATACCAACATAATCTCGATACTACAAGTGAAATACGGAATGTATATGATTTTTTTTTTTAAATGCTTTGATATGGACTTTGAACGGTTACATGTACTATTGATATAAAGCCTTTAATACGCAGATTTCACAAAACTGAATTATGTCATATACTTTTCGGAAAATGCACTTAAGATAATTTAAATTGCTGTCAAAATATAGCCAAATAATATGCTAGTTGAACGTGCTTCTATGTCTGTGATGCTATCAAAGTGTTGTTCATCACCTGAGATCAACCCCGGTTTTTGATGGGGTTCGTTGCTCAGTCTTTAGTTTTCTTTGTTGTGTTTTGTATACTGTTGTTTGTCTTTAGTTTTCTTTGTTGTGTTTTGTATACTGTTGTTTGTCTTTTTGCAATGTCATTTACCAGTTTATTAGTTTTAATATCTCTTTGGTATCTTTCGCCTCTCTTGTTGCTTTCTATCTATTTGGAAGAATATTTTTTATAGCTTTTACATGAGTTTCATAGCTTTTATATTGTATGTCGTTTGATTAACGTATGTGTATACCAAACTTTAGTATTGAGGCTGTTCTTTGGTAGGCTTAGTTAATTTAATTTAGAACTAAGTCTTGTCTAGACACAATAACGGTACGTGTCTATTGTTGAAGACCATTTATTTCAAATACAGTCTTAGATGTCTTTTTTGTGTTTTATTTTGTTGTTGGATTGCTGTGTCATTTCCTTGTATCCCACATCTCCTTTCACACGTATCTATAATAAAAAAAACTTATTCACACGGATTAAAGCTATACTTTTGCTAAGTCTTTACATCTTTAGTGTTTAGCCATGCATATTTATTCGCTGTCATATAACAATTTAGAAAGGATATTATCTATTTGTTTTCTTTCCTTAAATTAAGTGCGTGTAATTATATTCTATTATTTTTTTACAAAACTTTAGAACATTTTAAAAACATTTGATTGCTTATAAGTGTATTTGATGTTGTTCTTTGGGTACTGAGGGGCATGTTTTATTGTCATATCATCACTAATATTGCTTTATAATCTTTGTAATAACCTATAAGTAAACAATTCTAAATTGTACTTTCGGCATTAAAAAATGGCATGTTTTACGTACACTATTGATGCCTGTAGAAGTACACAACCGATTAAAAAAAATACAAATGTATTTTAAACCAACGAGGAACTTGATTAGTTTCTTTATAGAAATATACTTTTATCAATACCGTTTTTCTAATTTTCTTTTTTTAGGGGGGAGGGGGTTCTTATTCGATACATCATTTAATCAATTTTATGTTTTCTAAAGTCATTATATGTTTGTAAATTTATTATTAATCCTTCCAATGATTAAGACAAGAGTGAGTTAGAACATTCAGAGAACTAGTTGTTCCGAGCCTGTGACTGTACCAAGACGGGAATTTCGTAAGCATTTATCTATATTTAAATGGTAGTGATTTCAATTTCGATTTATTTTTCATGTATTATTTGGTTTTTGTCTCTTTGTAGTTGACATAATATCTCATATTATTCATTTTGCTTTTAAGTAAAAATCAAGGATAAATTTTTATAACTGGTTTTATTCTTTGAAATTCTTGGAAATTGCCAAGTATTTTCCTATTTGTGTTGCATTATACCCCACGGAGGACATGTGGTCGAAAGCATTTTTACATTTTTAAGGTAACTAAATATCATATTCTTAAGTATTCGATGGGATGTATCAAAAATTTTCAAATTCGTTATCTTTGTTAATTTATTTTGAATATCATTATTTTTTTAATGATTTTTTTTTCTGAAATATACCTTACAGCTATCTCTCACAGATGTATGAAATGTAAACAACATATTTAAGAACGAAGTGTAGCAGAGATTATCGATATAAAAGTACCGATTAATATTCAGAATATGTAACGCATAATGTATATTTACATCCCAGTAATGTTCAATCCGGTTCACCGTTCGTACTCTATTCACCTCGTTTGACCATATTTTTGTTTGACGTACTTAAACTGATAAACACTATATATAGTAACTACATCATAACCTAATCCACGGGGAAAATATTTATATATATAATCTGGAGATAGGAATATTTGGTTTGATCTAGGTTATAAATTCAAATGAAGAGCTTGAAATCTCATATTTTGACAAAATTTGATAAATGAATAAGTTAATCGGTTGGCGTAATAAAAGTCGTATGCTGACCTTTTAATGTCATTTTTGTCTTATGAATGATTTCCCTATATTTCTTTTTCTCTATGTCGAAAAATTTGAAGTACATTCACGTCAAGTTTAAGATTCTTAGATAGTCGAGTCAGGGTTTCCTGAGTTGGCCAAGTTGTTAAAACTGTTTTGCGTCAGCTAGTTTGACCTTAGTCGTACACGTAACTTGGATAAAAGGTCCTTTATTGCAAGTTATTGAAAATGGTGAGAAAGAAGGGGGGAGGAGGTATCCTGCTATTATTGGACGAACATGTTTTATTATTTAATGAAAAATACAATAGAAAAAAAACACACACAATGAAGGTATATTTGTAAACATAAATGGTAACAAAGGGCACAAAAGCTGGCAAAGTTAGAAGAAATGTTATCTAACCAACTTTTATATTCATGTACTTATGAAATGTAAACAACAGATAAAAATTTTCTTTAAGAAATTGTGTCAAATGAACATCAGCTGCCTTCTTGTGACAAAAAGATAAAACATATCTTGTCAGTAGTTCAACAACACGTTTGACCTATATTTGAGTTTCTTAAGATAAATGATTAGGTTAAGTTTTAGTTGCGAGTATCAAAACAATAGTATGCATGTGACAAATAAGCTTGGTAAAGTTTAAAACTAAATAACAGATCATTTGAAAAAGGAACAAGAAAATAAGAACAGCAGCATATAAATTCATATCTGCCCCAATATGTTTGCAATAGGCTGATTTTTTTCAGTCAGGGAATTGAATTATTTAATTTTTAATTAATTCAAATATGGGGTGCAAATCTAGTAAGATAGATTTTACGCAATAAATCAAATGGATATTTTTTTTCATTTGCCCTCTTTATTTGTTCTCATACGTATTTATGTGTAAATTGAGTAGTGTACTTTGTGAGGTGTTTTTGCACAGCAACAATTTAAACTAATAAGTT